ACATATTTTGAAAGCCAGCCCCCTCTTTGCCCTCCCCCCCCCTTCCCCCAGTACTGCCATGCCCTGCTTCAACAGGAGTACGTACAATGCAGAAGAAAACTGGCTTTAAACATCTCTCTGCAGCAGGTGGAAAGGCAAGTGCAGGCTGCAGGGCAGCAGGATGAAGTGGCAATGCAGCACTTGCAACAGGACAGTGCATTGTAGGGCTACACTTCATCAGAAATCTCTGAATCCAAGGACATAGTCTTAGGCACAGGTGCACATTTATCAAGTTGTTTTGGAGCCTCTCTTCTCCCCCCTCCTCCCACACAAACCAAATGCAAACCTGAACTCTTTTCCCTGATGTTCTGCCAGACAAATAGGCAACTCAGAGCATCACATGTCTGATTCCCCCACCGCTCTCACTGATTTTTGCTCAGATGCTCTGCAATAATCTTGTCTCAAGCCACCTCATTCAGGCAGCCTATTCATGGGCTATTATGTAGCGGACACAGTATCAGCTGGACAGCTACAAACAAATGAACAAAGAAGTAAATAAATCATTTGTGGAATGTTGGCATCTGCATTGTTTAATGCCTTTTGTTTCAGTGCTCTCATCTGCCCCCGCACACACAGCCTCCTTGACTTCTCAGAAACCATGGCTTCACTAGCAAATCAGAACACAGCGACAGAACGGACCTACCTTTACGGAAACTAAAACACCGCTTAATTCTCCTATAAGTAGTTTTAGGAATGAAAGGAGCTGCTGCTAAGGCACCTGGGCTGCGTACTCCAGCATTTCTGTCTTCAGGCATCATACAGGCCAGAGACACCACGTCCCTCCAAAGCTTTCCTTTACCAGCTGCATGCAGACGAAACACCACAACTGCTCATCATTACTGACTGCTGAGGAGTTTTTATAATAGCGTATTTTCCTCTGAAGCTAGGAGATTTGTGGTCTTCTAGATCTTGGGTAGGGCTTGAAGTGATTTTAATGTTCTCTTCCCGGCTTCAATTTTGCTTTGGGGAACAATTTCCTTCCGTCTCTCTATTTCCTTTCGTTTCTTTTATTTCCCACGGCGAGACAACTCTCTATTATGCAATGTCACAACAAAAGAGTTTCAGCAAAAATATATCTTCCATTCAAACAGAAGTGCCTGCGCAGATGGAGGGGTAGAAAGACCTCTTCCTCCCAGCTGGAACAGAGGGTTGAGTGGCTGAGACTCTAATTCCGCAGGAAAAGGTCAGTGCTTCACGGTGCGCAAGGGGAAAGCAAAGAACAATACCAAAAAGGCCACTGAAGAATCCTCCGGGATACGATACTCCTTGCTGGCTCCCTTTATCTCTGCAACCGAGAAGCAAAAACAACAACCCCTTCACCCGAAAGGCTCTCTGTCCATAACAAATTCCTTTTAAAAGGCCTTTTATATACCCAGCTCCCTGACTGGTGTTCTCATGGGCTTCTTGCTTGTTTTATTGCCTTCGAACTACCAGAAGCTCTCATGGGAGAGGTGCGTCAGATGCGGTGGCAGCGCATCTTTGCCGGCAGGATCCTGGGGAGCTGCTGAGGAATACGTGCCTCCACACAGGGATGCTCTGCTTGCTTGCTCCCTCCCAGTCCCACGCCTGGCAATGGCAGCCACGGCTGCTGCTGCCGCCGCCTGCACCAGCCCCTGGCGTGCAGCAGGTGCAGGGAAACGACGTAGAGGAGCGAGCTACCGCAACGCAGATTTGTCTGCTCCTCCGGGTGACTTTGAGTTGACTTCAGGCGGCCGTTGTGTGCAGCAGCTTGAAAAGCAAGCAGGCTGTGCCTGGCTCCCGCAGGAGGTGCCAGATCTTAAGTTACTACCCCTGCTAAAACGCTCATGCTCCTTCTTCTCGCATCCTCCCTCCCCCTTAGTTGCAAGCTCTGCAATTAAAGCTCAGGCCTTTCCCTCCTGTAAAAAATTGCCCTTTTAATCTAATCAGGAGAGGAATTTCATGTGCAAACAGGCATTACATGCCCTGCCTCATTTACATTTCTCTTCCCTCTCAGAATTTTTTCCACAGTCACCTTATTCTTTTGGTGCAAAACCCAAGCTGTTTCTCATCACCTTAGCAGATTCCCACCTGCACCCCTCCTTCCCTCTCTTTCTAGCACAGGTTAACAAATAACAATTTAATGATATGGTTAATCATTTACAGAGCTCCTTGCTCTGGTACCGGGAGTCCTTTCCCACTGCCAGACAAACTTTAAATATTAGCTGCTCACCAAGGCTCAGACACATCCGTTGCACGTGCACGCACACACACACACACAGAGTGTTTGCTTACAATGCTTAAAGGAACCAGAAAATTCAAATATGTTACTCAAAGTGGCACTTGACTTGTATGGCACCAGACTATTGTGGTTTACCATCTAGTACTGAAATTTAGGAAGCTGATATAAAACTGGTGTTTTGATTAATTAAGTGTCTGAAATAATTTTGTGTTGCAGGTAATTACTCGTTACTGGCTAGTCATCATCATGTGACTGCAATTTCATGTAACAGATAGATAAAAAGATTTTTAACTTCACTGGCTACAGCTCATAAAGGCAGGCTCTTAGACAACTTAACCCAGAAGTGCCCTTCTTTAGAAGAGTCAGACATTTGCAGCAGCTGTAGCAACATCCATGCAGCAAGGGATAATAAAAATATGAGTGTGTCCAGTCATACATGATCACAGAACAGTTAATAGTGCTTATTAAGACTTGTTAAGATAGCTCAGACTATCAACTGAAGTAACAAGTAGTTAATAAAATGGGGGACATGCTAGAAACATTTCTTAATGGTGACACATCCCATGATACTGCTTTTGCCTTGTTATCACAGTCAAGTCTTCTGCATGAACACTAAACCCAAAATCTTGTTCCATCTATTCTCATGTTTTCCAGAGAGTTAACTGTTTGCTTCCCAATACAAACAACCCCGAGTCAGTGTGTTTACTCAAGAAATCCAATAGGATTCAAAAAAGAATGTTCAAAAAGAATGTGCTCAGAAGTGTTTTAACTACAAATGAATTTAAACAGTAATTCAAGGATTGCACACAACTCGCTTTATGCAAATCAGCATGCAAAATCCTCAGCAAGGTGCTTCCCTCAGTAATTGGTATTAAACACTTGTACTACAATGATGGTGCCCCGAGAATTATCATGGTGGCTGGAAGGATTCCCAGCTGTAAACCAGAAATAGCTCTTGCCCTATAAAAGCAAATGAGGGGCTGGTAAAGAAAGCATAGGGGCAGGACTCGGGAGATTTGGTTTCTATTCGTAGCTCTGTGCATGGACTTGGGCTAGAAACGGAGTTTCACGTAATCTCAGCTCTCTGTCTGTAAAATGTAGACACTTCTCCACTTGCAGAACTGCAAGGTCGCCTTTCCTCATTATCTGCCACAGAAACATACTGTGGTGCTGGAAGCCAAGTGCAAAAAACCACAAAGACACTCTTTGAAAAATCCAGTTCTGTTATGTCCCCAAATTTATTATTGCCGCAGTAGCTTATGCTGCTACTGGACTGGAATCAGAGAACACTAAGGAGCTCAACATGAGGCCTGCTTTACAAAGAGAAAGTTGGGGACGGGTAATCTTTGTGCTATATAAGCAAGGAGATTTCTTACCAAACCTAATTTCAGAAGACTGTGCTCCTCCCGCTGCCACTCTCCCAAACCAGCTCAAGATACCAGTAGATCACGCTTTTTAAGACAAACCTTTCACTTTGTGGGTTTTGGGGTTAGTTGTTTTGGGTTTTCTTTTAAACATCCTCCTGTAAGACTTACATGCTCAGATCCAGGACTGTGCCAGTTTAATAACATATTGGGCCAGATCCCAGTGAGATGACTGCTCAGCATCATCTTTCCAGGGCACATTTCCCCAGGAGGAGCCAAAGAGAAGACACTCATGTTTAAAGAGATGCCAGACAGCCCCTAGCTGACAAGTCCCTCAGTGCAGCCCACCAGCAAGACCTGAATAAAGCACAAAGGAAGATGGGTGGCTGACAAGAAAAGTTTTGTTTAAAATGGTAGTTTCCTTCAGTCCCTCCAATCCTGTCTCCTGTGGTCTACCTGGCATTTGAGAAAAAGACATTTGCAGTCAGCAATCACAGTTCTCAGTGATAATTGCGCTTCTCAGTCATGAAACAGCACAGACAACCCTGCCTGACCTACTATTCCTGCAACCTCCAGACAAGACCAAAAAGTATCTGATGCAATATGGGTGCTCTTTCACAATGGAAAAATATTTCTGCCCCCAAACCTGGAGATTTGAGAGCTCCAAGGAACAGACCGATTAACATACTGACCTTTTGTGCACGTTTATCAATCACACTTGTATTATAATAATATAGACATTCTCACCAGAATAATAATGATGAAAATGATAATAACTTGCAGCGCATTCAACATAAGAGAGCTTTTTAAAAAGACAACTAGACATCCAACAATAAATTTTGATCCAGTACTACTGAAATTATTGGGTATGCCCATCAAAAGAAAAGGAATCTATCCTACACTGCTAGTGCTAATATTCTGAGGCTTATATTGTAGCGCGTAGCTTTATATAATACTATTGCTGGTCTTAGTTGTCATTTGCAGGACAACCACTGACAGCTTCTTGTAACAGGCATTTATGAAACACATGGACCGTCTTCTAGCTGGTGAACAAAGGAATTACCCTGCTTTTCCCTGCGGGAAAGCTGATTTCATAGGAGACCAGCTTTCTGTGAAAACTTCCCCTTGCCTTGGTAATGCACTGTCATGTGCTATCCTCATCAAGGGATGTGGTCTCCAGACAGTTTAAAGTCTTTTAAATGAGCCCTCTACACGGGAACGTGCCCGATACTTGCACTGCAAGTGAAAACAAAGGGTTTACTCCACTGTTTTTTGAACTATCTAGACTGTTCTCCTCCTCTTCACATCAAAACTCTGCCTGCAACTGAGAGACAAGAGAAGAACCCTTGCATGTCTTTGTGTAATTGGGAGCCTTACATTTTCCCTCACTGACTCACCTCCTCCAAATGGCGCCCATATAACCCTGCGAATGGATTTCACCCAATCCTCCATGTCATTCTGCGTGCTCGCCATAAGAAGGTACGTTTCATGATTAGCTGTCATCCGCTCTCGGTCTCCTCCTGCAAGAGAAGATAATTGCACTTAGAAACTCTTTTGCTTTCCTGCCCAGCCAAGTTCCTGCCAGACTGACTGCTGAAAGCAGTAATAGTGGCTCCATAGCAAGCAGACACATATACTATGCAGTGGTGCATTTATCATCAGACATGGCATGAAAAGAAGGTCCTGTAAGTACATTCCCCATCAGACACCGAGAAGCTGTCACGCTTCCAAAAGGAAATGAGAGGATAAATGTCATCAGTAAACAAAAACAGCCTCATGCTGTTCCAAGAACCACGGGGGCCTGCACTAATCTGTAACTTGATATATGCACTGGAAATTTTGCAGCAGTTATTGTACCATCATGGAAAGAATAAACGCAGAGAGAGCTAAGCATGCTTTGAACAAGTGGGGATGACTCTATTTTTATTTTCAGGAACACAATGTGTCACATTCATGGCAATGACATTTGATACACCCAAGTGTTGCTGTGAATCTCTGCCTAGAAGGCAGATGATGCTAGCAGCTGACATGGTACAACCCACTGCCTTGGACGGGTCTGATGAGGATTAGATTAAGAGGGAACACACTGCCTTATTACCCTTTATTTAAAGGATGGGCCAACAGGTCAAAGTCTGGCTTGCCGCAGCTCCAGGTTTTCACACTTGCAGTACTGCTTCACCTCCATCCTAATGGGTACTATGTTGGTGCAAGAGCACAAGAAGATTCAAACCACCTTTCCAGCACTACAGAAGGAGCAAATCCTTCCAGAAAGATAGCACCAGACATTTTGAAGACCTTTCTCTGAGCCAAGGGCATGCAAGCACGCAGGCATGCATCACGCACAAATGCAACACACCTAGAAATCCTGTGAGTTCTGTGTTCATCTATTTCCAGCTTCTTCCATCCCTATTTTTGATTCTAGTCATACCTAAATTAAATATCTCTGTTCATTACAGCATTTTTTTATACTGCTCCTGGGAGGTCTTCCGAATAGTGCCATGCTCAGTGTTGGGCACTGGAACAGCTAGGTTTCTAAAGAGAAACTTCTTAAGTGCTAGAAAATCCAACCAGGATTTCCTGGCACAACCATTCTGAATGAACCTACTCATATAGTCCACACTTTACAGAATTAGGACACACACCTGTAAAAGGGACTTAACCGAAACTTGGCAAACACAAAAGCCAGATTTTCCCAGACACGGTCAGATTCTACTGACGACCTAAGGTTTACATCATTATTTAAAACTTGCATTTGAACTTGGAAGTAAAGAGAGACTCTGGTTTTCTACAGTCAAAATACAGCCATTATATACCATATGTTCCCCAAAAAGGCATCCAAACAAGTAATGCAAAATCCTGAAGTACAATACATTTTAGACTATACCACAATTTAGAATTCTGAAGAACACTACTTTTTTTCTAAGACATAATTAAAAGGTAGGGATCAACCGATTTTAAGTGCCAACACTAGGGAAAAATCAGCATGAGCTAAACTGCATTGTATTTTTTTGGAATCTTTTCAGTGACTAGCACAAGAATTGGTACAAAATGTGTCCTACTGGTATGCTATGTTCCATCATTTTTACCTTTCCAGAAACAGAAGATGGGGGTATGGGGAGCGGGAAGTATTAGCATCCCAAATGACAGCACTCCACATCAACACTGCCCAGCAGAAAGCCCCTAGTGAGGACCTGGAAATTTACTCCCCATCTTTCCCTTTTACATAGCCATCTTGACCAGAACAATGACAGATCTCTCTCACTCAAGCATGAAGAGTAGACATGTCTAAGGTCTACTTAAACTGGCATATTTTACATATCATCCAGAGATCTCATCCTGAAAAGGCCCAAAAATAAAGATACAAACAGAAAGCCTCACTATATTGTCACAGCTATTAAATATAATAGTAATAAATACAGTATAGAGAAAAAGCATGCAACACAGTTGCACTCTTTTTGTGGCTGATAAAAACTGAAAAATGTCTTGTACTGAAGCTTTTTTTTTTTTTAATGGACTAGGATCCTGTAAGGTGCTGTACAAAAAGAACAAAAAGGTGCATTCACATAAAATACCTATCAAGTTCAGGAATAAAACAAGAGGTGACCTGATTTTCTTACTAAAGAGACAATAAAAAAGATGACAGCCATGGCCAAATGATTGTCCTCCTCTTAGGTGTCTGTCAGATTGCTCCATATTCTTTTAATAGCCTGCATATTTAAATTCAGCAGATTGTGTGAGATTTATTCAGTTATGTTATGACAAATTGGAGGGTGTTCTCCAGATAAACTGGATTAATCCCAGCAGTCTAGATAGTTCATTTACAGTGTGGATTCCAGAGCAGTACTCTAAATAACTAACGCAGGTAAATACCCACTCAGCTAAAACACAATTAATATGTGTTTAATTTTGAAGAGAACAAAAATGTCATGTTTGGTTACATTATTTTTTTGGTATGAGAAAGCAAAGCTTTCATAACAAAAGGAGCTTCACCATTTTATAGCAATTCTGGACCTGTCTACTTCGTAATTCACAGAATCACAGATTGGTCAGGGTAGAAAGGGACCTCCGGAGATCATCTAGTCCAACCCCCCTGCCAGAGCAGGGTCACCTACAACAGGTTGCACGGGACGGCGTCCAGGCGGGTTTTGAATGTCTTCAGAGCGGGAGACTCCACAACCTCTCTGGGCAGCCTGTGCCAGTGCTCCACTACCCTCAAAGTAAAGAAGTTCCTCCGCATGCTAAGATGGAACTTCCTGTGTTCAGGTTTGTGCCCGTTACCTCTTGTCCTATCACTGGGCACCACTGAAAAAACACTGTTCCCATCCACCTCGCACCCTCCCTTTAAGTATTTGTAAGCATTACTAAGATCCCCCCTCAGTCTTCTTTTCTCTAGACTAAAGAGACCCAAGTCCCTCAGCCTTTCCTCATAAGACAGATGTTCCAATCCCCTAATCATCTTCATAGACCTTTGCTGGACCCTTTCCAGCAGATCCCTGTCCTTCTTGAACCGGGGAGCCCAGAACTGGACACAGTACTCCAGATGCGGCCTCACCAGGGCAGAGTAGAGGGGGAGGATGACCTCCCTCGACCTGCTGGCCACATTCTTCCTGATGCACCCCAGGATGCCATTGGCCTTCTTGGCCACCAGGGCACATTGCTGGCTCATGGTCATCCTGTGGTCTAACAGGACTCCCTGACCTCCTGGAGAGCAGCTCAGCCCCCAACCTGTACTGATGCATGGGGTTATTCCTCCCCAGATGCAGCACCCTACACTTGCCCTTGTTGAATTTCATAAGGTTTCTCTCTGCCCAATTCTCCAGCCTGTCCAGGTCACGTTGTAAGGCGGCACAGCCTTCTGGCATGTCAGCCCCCCCTCCCAGTTTTGTATCATCAGTAACCTTACTGATGGTACACTCTATCCCTTCATCCAGATTATTGATGAATACATTGAACAGGACTGGACCCAGTACTGACCCCTGAGGGACAACTCCTTTCTTTCACAGCACAATATTGGATCTTGCAAGGTTCTTCTCCTTGTGCATTAATTTCATTATTATTCAAGAACTGAAGCCTCACTAAAAGATTTTTGGGAATACAACAGCACATACTGGATTTGTGTTTTACTGCAAATGTTAATTTTTAGTGGGAGTGTATTTTAAATACAAAATTAACAAGATCAGGAGGACAGACAAGAAGAAATGACCATGATTCAGGAGACAGCCATCTCAGATAAGTAATTCCAGATAAACAGAAGTAGAATTAGGAGGACCTTTCTGAATCTTCAGTAGGCCCACAGGACACTTCTGAAAGACGCTGATTAGAATCTCCACGTCACTTTTTTTTCCCCTCATAATATGTTATATGTTATGATTATAATGAGGCACGAGTAGATCACAATCTCCAAAAATCAGACATCTATTCATACCATCGATACCAGCACCAAGTATGTGAACCTGAAAATTGTGCTCAGCATTAAGTCCATTCCAGTTGTGAATGCAGCCTTATACCTTTCCTGTGGGCGTGCAAATCATAACGTATTTTACCTGTATTGTTGTACAGCTCCATATTATGCCTTCTCATATTTCCTTTGCTGCATTTGCAGTCCAAGTACGAGAAATGCCTAATCCTGTATGTTGTGGCCTGCTTGTTAATAGCCAACTGGAAGGGCTGGAATGCCTTTTTTTTTTTTTTTTTTAATCTGTTCCTCTTACTACTTTGCAGGTGTCACAGGACCTGGAAGGAGCAGAACCCAGTCTACCTGACCAAAGTTGACTCTGGCATATTCAGGAAAAGCCGCTGTTTACACAACGGATCCTGTTTCTTCCAGCCTCTGGTAATGGAGAAAAGTAACTGGATTTATACTGTTTCTCAAAACTATAATGTTATGTTTATTTTTATGTTTACGTATTTTTATTTCTGCAGCTCTAACCAATCCCTAATCTGTTTTATTTTCTTAGGGGCACCAGAAATGAATTCTTACTCATTGAAGAAATCTATCTATAACATCCATTTGGAGAGGAAACAGCAAAACAGCACAATACCACGCTGAATCTTCCACTTTGAACAGATTAGATTTCTACTCCCGCCCCCTTTGGCAGTAGCTGTGACTTTCAGGTTCCCAAGTGCTCCTTCCTGCCTCCTCCGGGGGCTCAGTAACCAGTAAGTACAGCCTGCTGCTGTGCTTCCCCATTGGGACAGCCTGGGACCGCTCGGCCCCATGCTGGGTGCCGCGCTGAGCACCGAGCCAGCGCCGCTTTGAAACAAACCAGGCGAGGTATTTTAAGAACTCTTGCCAGCAACCGGAAACAAACAATTAAAATACGGAGAGGCCGATTGCTGCAGGGGTCCGCTCCGCAGGGGAAAAGAAAGGGAACAGCCGGCTCTTGCTCATGCAGCATCACCCTGCACGCTCCGAAAAGTATGAAGAGGCGGTGACTGAATGTAAGGGGTGATTGTTTCCTGAAAGACCAGGCTCAACAGCTCTCCTGCTGTTTATAGGGCACCAATTAAATGTGCATGC